CGTTTTTGTGTATAAATGTATTTACCCTATTGTTTATTTGTTTAATGTGCGTTTTTTATATTCAGTTTACTTCGTAGCTCACATGTGATAATTCTACTGTTGTTCGGTTCTTAATATTTTCTAAGCTTCATTAAGACTTTATTTATATACGTGTATATATATATATATATATATATATAATACATCTTGTTTTCAAACTCTGCTGATAATTTGAATCATTTAGATAAAATGCATTTAATAATCTCAAACGTGTTTGTCTTGATTAACAGATTTCATTTTCAATGTCACACGTTTTTTTTGTTGTTGTTTTTATAATTTATTAATACTAACTTTCAATGTGTTTAATTTTAGATGCAATTTGATACTACTGTTAAAATCAGTGTGTTATCATGAAATACATTTTACCATCCTCCCCCCTTTTGATATTATTGAAGATCGTTGAGTCAGGATTCCGGCAATTTGTATGATTCGAATGAAGACTTCACTGACGTATGTTATAACGAGCTTGATTTCATAGTTACGCTTGGCGTTGGTGGATTTGGAAGAGTGGACCTGGTGAGTGTTAAAACTTTTGCCGGTGTACATTACTTTAAAACACAAAATATTTGGGCCGTACCAACGTGGAAAAATATTTTAGGTTATTATTTAACTTTTCGGCAGATTTTGCAAAATTAGGATGTGCCAAAAGATAAAAATAACCTCAGTGTAAGCTATTATAGAATGATATAACAACTGTAATGCAAAAGATGGTGGTACTAAACAAACTGTCTGCCATAATAATTGTAGAATAAATAGAATAATAATAATAATATCAAAGTCACAATAAGACCATCAAAGTTTCATGTCCCGCATATCCATTTGTACGCACATACATCCATATATATATATGCTGTTCTCGGCTTTACTTAAGTCACTTACCTATTTAAGTTCCCCCATCTGAATACCAGAAACAGCTACTTTCTTAAATTAAAACTACAATGAATTTTTTTAACTTATGATTACAATTTTCAAAATGCCTCAAGCAAACGTAATTATTTCTTAGCCTTGTAGTACCTTGTAATTTGTCAATATTTGTTTAAATTCCTTTAAAAAATCTTTTTTAAGATGTATGCATCACATTTAAGTTGACTACTATGAATTAATGTAAAGATATTTGAGAGAGATTAAAACCTGTATATTTTAAGCTCTTGTGGTCTTTTGACGAATATCCAACTTTTAAACGTTATAGGCAATACATATGTAATGTTTTATCGCTTGTTGTTATTTGTTGTAAACTTATATGGCAACAATTTCTGTTAGGTGCGTTGGAAAAGAGACAAAACCAAGGTTTTCGCCCTAAAGTATTTACAAAAATCTCACATCGTCGAAACCCAACAACAAGAACACACGATTAGTGAAAGGTCTATCATGATGACCTGTCGACATCAGTTCATCTGTAGGTAAGAGAAGAATACTTGGTAAAATGCAGTAAGATAGCTTACAACTGTAAATAACTAGAAATATTATACACACTCTTCTAGTTAACTCATATTTTCCCGAATTGGGAAGCGAAATTGGTATGCATCATTTTATTTCTTACAGAATGAAATCATTCAAACATCCTCAGTTGATGTGAGTACGTTAAAATAATTAAATGTGTAACAGTTAACAGTTATATATAATTTTCTAAATTAATGCGGTTAAAACATATTTCAGTTGCACCCCTTCTATATATCTAAAGTAGATTAACTTACAGAGAAGTTCTGACATGTTTGTTTACTACAACGTAATATCGTGTCGTTGAAGAATATCTGTTTGTAAGTTTTCTTTTTGAAGCATATTTATTTTTCACGAATGAAAGTTTACATGTCGATGTTTTCACAAGGAAAGAATATAAAGTTGTACGTAGTTATTTTACTATTTGTTATTCAAATGATAATAGAATGGTCAACTATAGAGCACCGGCTGCCCTGTCTGTTTGGTTTCAAGAACCGCTTTCGAAAGTACATTCATTTCTGAACGCAGTTCTCACGCCTTTACCAAAGCTTATTATAGTACTAAGTTAATTGCCCCCGAGCGACAGCGGTATGTCTGTGGACTTACAACGCTAGAAACCGGGTTTCGATACCCGTGGCGGATAGAGCACAGATAGTCCATTGTGTAGCTTTGTGCTTAACTTCAAACAATCAAAACATTTATACATACAATATGATTTCGCGGTTTTGACTCTCGTACAGGCTATTATATTCTTCACATTCTGATTCCACATTCACGGAACACATAAAAACTAGCCATGTTCGAAATTTCTTGACATTTTCTTTAATAATTTTGCAAAGAGAAAAAAATTCGTATTTCCACTTTCACTGCTGATCTTAAAATAACATTTTCTTGAACTAGTCAAATACACTAAATATCCCAAGTTTTGAAAATGTTTTGATATTAACATTTGATAATATATATATATATATGTATATATCTTTTTACTAAAACATTACGTTTCATAACGGTTTCGTTATCAAGTCCGCACTCATAACGTAGACAGGAGAAAAAAATCAACTGACATTCTTGCAAATGTCACAGCTCTACTCATGCCCCATCTCAGATCGGTGTTACAGATTAGAACACTAGTATTTACAGATATTTGAGATCACTTTGTTATTACACTAGTGTTTAACAAGGACTCTGCATAATTATAAAAGTAAGTTATAAAATATATATATTTTTAGAGAATGGTTTAAATTAATTTGTGGCCATCAATGAATTTATGTGATGCAAACATGTTCTTAAACAATATTGTATACATGTATACAGATATATATTTAGATGTAAAGTCTATACCCATAGGCTGTACAAGACCTTCAAAGACAATAAGTACGTGTATCTTATGATGGAAGCCTGCCAGGGAGGTGAACTGTGGACAATGCTTCGAAATAGGTAAATATGTCCACGAAACATAAAACTTTCTTAGAACTTAGTAAAATCTAGTAGACATCTATAACCTTTAACTAATTTCTTATATGTTTCTATTGTTTTTCATTAGTGGCTTACATATTTATATAATATGACGTAGCTGCCTATGAAAAGTATGTTAATGTCATAATGTAAAACCAATAATAATTGAAGTTATGTAGTTTCCGTATAAAAGATTGTTTGTTGGTAAACGGAGTGAAGCTTTTCTCCAATTAGGTCAATTTTGATTTGATGTGAAATTGTTGTCTTCAATTCATTGTTGTTTCGGATTTATATGTTGCTACATTTCAGAGGGCGATTTGACGAAGAAAGTGCCCGATTCTACATTGGCTGTGTCATTGAGGCTCTCAGCTATCTCCATTCCAAGCAGATCTTGTATCGGGACTTGAAACCAGAAAATGTGATGTTGGATAGTGCGGGGTATATAAAACTTGTAAGTTAAATAGTTTTTTCTTTACATCATTAATGTATGCCATTTTATTGTTATCTCAGACGCCAAAGTAACTTAAAGCAACTTCGATCGTAATTGAGCGATTTTCTTATGGGATGTATATATATATATATATATATCAAGCAGGCAGTAGCACTGCCTATGTAGAGATGGCTCGGATTGTTCATTGAAATGACATTTTAAATACATCCTCAGTAGGTCATCAGAACTTTACAATACTTACAATGCTTTCTTTTATAACAATATCTATGTAATGACTGAGTCACAAGTTCTTGGAATGTCTGTAAAATTATAGTAAACAATATGAATTTATTGTTTTTCTTTCTTCTGCTTCTTTTTTATTACATGTTAACTCAAAAACCAAAACAATAGTATCAACCAATTTCACTGAGGTGACGTAGTTTCAAACGGAATATCAGCTTTTATAAGTATTATTAATATCTAGTAGTAATGATTAAAAAATATCGCAATTCTAGTGTAAACGATGCTATCGTTAACCCTTGAAGTTAGCTTTCTTACAAAAAATTTGTGTTCCTTTAAAAAGCATAAGTAC